ACAGTTTTGAGAAAGACTTTTTCAAACTAATGAATAATAGCGTTTTTGGAAAGACAATAGAAAACATAAGGAAAAGACAGAATATAATTCTTATTGATGACCGTACCAAAGCTGCAAAACTAACAAGTCGTCCAAACTTTGATAGAGCAACAATATTTGATCGTAATCTAATTGCTGTTCACATGAAAAAGACTGAAGTGTATTTTAATAAACCAGTATATGTTGGTCAAGCAATTCTAGATTTATCAAAAACATTAATGTTTGATTTTCATTACAATTATATCAAAAAGAAATATAAAATCAAAGCTGAGTTAATGTTTACAGATACTGATTCACTTTTATACCAAATTCATACGGATGATTTTTATCGTGATATAACAAATGATGTACTAACCAAGTTTGACACATCTGATTATTCACCAAACCATAAATCTGGAATACCAACAGGAGTTAACAAAAAAGTAATAGGAATGTTTAAAGATGAAGTAGCTGGTAGACAGATTACTCATTTTATAGGTCTTCGGCCAAAGCCTTATACTTTCAAGATAGAGGATGGGAGTTTAACCAAGAAGTGTAAAGGTGTAAAAAAGAGTTTTGTAAAAAAGGGAATAGAATTTGAGAATTATTTTGAGTGTTTATTTACTGGTGAAAAGCAAATGAGAACTATGAAAATTATAAGAAGTGAAAATCATGATATATATTCAAAAGAAGTAAATAAAATAGCTTTGAGTAGTGAAGATGACAAAAGAGAGGTCTTAAAGGATAGAGTAAAAACTATTGCTTTAAGATAATAAGATATAAAATAATAAATGAGTTATACAGAAGATCAAATAAAAAAATATCTAGAAATATTACATAATTATACTAAAAAACCAGAGGATGTGAGTGGAAAAGCTAAATGTATAAATTGTCAAAACGATAGTTTTTGTGTTGAATCAGGTTATAATATTTGCGATTTCTGTGGTACAACTAATGGACATGTATTAGGTTATTTTGACTTGAAAGAATACAATCGATTTCATTTTCGAAAGAAGAGTAGTTATCAGAGAAAGTATCACTATGAGAAAAAGGTTGATCAAATTTCTAAAAGAATAAACCTAACTGATGATGAAAAGTATGAATTATATAGTAAATTAATGACAATAGATAACCATGTAATGGAAATACTAAACAAACAATTTTGTCGGAAGAGAATGATAAGTATTTTTTATTTAATAAAAAAACTTTTGGAAGAGACGGATTATGAAAAGAGTAGTTTAGTTTATCTAAAGATTAGCCCCCAAACTCTGGAGAATTATGAAAAGTGGTGGGATAGATATAAAAGATTAAAGAAATAATTTTATATTTAAAAAAATTATAAAATTTATTTTTCTAAGTATTTATACCCATCTTCAAATACTATATAAATATCTAAAAATGCTTTTGTTTTATAATATAGATCTTCATCTATTTCCATATCTAATTTTAAGTTAATTAGAGTATGATATATTCCTTCTATATCAATACCCTCATCTTTCATAGCATCTTTTACAAGTTTTGAAACATATTTAACTTTACATTTTTTTTCAAGTTCTGAACTATTTTCATCAACTATGAATGGTTTAACTAATTCTTCTCTTTTTTCTTCTGTTATTTTAAATTGTCTGTGTAACGTATCAATATGATTTGAAGCGAGATTTTCTAGGAATTCTTTTTGTACTTCTTTCATTTCTTTAAATTCTGAGAGTATATACTCATCATGTAAAAATTCAAACATTTCTTTTAGTAATGTACTAGCAAGACGTTTTACATCTTTTTGTCTAATAATAACAGCTGCCATTTTATTTATAGATTATATTATTCCTTTATGAAAAATCCAGTAAATTATCCCAGTTAGATATCCTAATACTTCACATTCTTTGAAAGGTGAGTTGATTGCATATACACATCCTCTTCCAATTCTATAATGTTTCCAGAAAGCATGAAAAGCGAGACTAAATATTAAATGGTTGGTAATAATATTTGAATCTGAATTTAGGTAGTGTCTTGCTTCTGTAAGTTTGTAAATAATTTGATCTATGTTTAGTTTTTGTGAAAAATACTTTGCGTAGAGAAACTGATAAACTAGACAAGCTTTTATGAAGTTATCCGGATAAAATTGTGTTTTATAAGTTGGAAAGTAAAGATTAACGTATTCTACAATTGATTTTATCATTTTATATTACTAATTATAATAAATTTTTTTAAGATAAGGTCAAAGTATTATATATGTATGAATTAAATTATTTGAATTTGTGCTTGAAGATTGTTTTTGTGGAAATAAATTTGAACTATATACTTTATAACCATCATTATGATATTTAATAATTAACTTTTTTTTTCTTTCCAAACATCTTCAAAAGTGTGATAATATTTATATTCAAATAGAATTTGTGGATTTGGATATTCTTTAAATAAATCATGTACCATATCATCCGGATCTTGTTTTTGATATTCTATTTTTTCTTCTATTGATTTATTAGTTTGACCAATAAATACTCTTTTATCAGGAAAAATAATAACATAAACTAATCTTTTTTTCATTTTTATATTTATATATTTAATTTTTAAGCCTTTATTTAAAAAAAAAAGATTAATTATGGTTAAAAGAAATAAAAGTATAAATAAAATGATGATTGAAAAAAATTTCATTAATAGTCATCTTGGAATCAAGTTTAAATCATTCATTGATGGAAAATGTAGAGTATGGTTTCAAGCAAAACAAGTTGCCCAAATACTTGGATATAAAAATACAGATCATGCTTTAAAAAGACATGTAAGTGAAAATCATAAAAGAACTTTTCTTTTTTGTTGCCCGCCTGAAACGGGCGGTCAACAAAATGAAACCAGGGGTGATGAAACACCACCTCAAAAAATTGACACTAGAGGGAAATATTGTTTATTTGTTGATGAAGCAGGATTTTACGAATTAGTTTTTAGATCAAAATTACCTGCTGCAAAAATGTTTCGAGAATGGGTATTTACTAAGGTATTACCATCAATTCGTAAGTATGGTTATTATAAAACGATGGATACAAGAATAAAACAAAGAGTAATATTTGAAGGGAAAAAGTACTACAAACACCCAGTTTTTAGTAATTATGCTGCAAGAAAAAATGGAGAAGTAATAAATGTAAAAACTAAAAAAATTATAAAAATGATGAATAATGGACTTGGTTATTTATTTTTTGATATTTGTGATAAAAAACTTGAAAAACCAAAGAAATACTTACAACATCGTTTTGTATATGAGGTTTTCAAAGGGCCAATTCCAAGATGTTTTGAGATTGATCACCAAAACTCGATAAGAAGTGACAACAGAATTAAAAATCTGCAATTACTTACTCATAAACAGAATATTGAAAAAAGTAAAAATAAGGTAATAATTTCTACTTGTATCAAAACTGGAGAAGAAAGAAGTTTTACATCAATTAAAAAAGCTGCGATTGAATTAGATATTAATGCTGGTAATATTTCTAAAGTTTGTAGTTTGTAAAAAAAAATGTAAATTTTTAACATCTAGAAAAGATGGATATAGATACAAATTTAGATACTTGGATTGGATTTCAATATTAAAATAAATATTGAAATCAGGATTATACAAACTTGTTTTAAAATCAAAATTAGAAACTGCTAAAAATATTTAGTTAATGGGTTTTTATATATTATTTAGAAGTTTAATCTTTAAGCCTTTTTATTAATTTAAAGAATATAAATTATTATATACATGGAAGATATACTTAGAAAAAGAGAAATAAAGTTGATTAAAGAAGGATTATTTTTCATAGACTCTTTTGAAGAATATACAAGCAAAAATAATCCTGATATGTATAAAAAATATTTAACTCTTAAGGAAAAAAAACTTACCATTTTCCCAGACAAATGGAGTCAACATATGCGAGTTTTAAAAGATATTAAACGTGTACTTAATGAAAGAAATTTCGACTTTTTAGAGTCGTATGATGATATGTTTACAAAAATGGAAAACTACATAAACACTTTTAAACCAAAAGTTTTCTTAGAAAGAGAAAATCTTAAACAAATATATGATATTGTTAATATTATAAATGAAATTAGTGAACTACCAAATAAATCAAGATTGAATTATGTTTTGAAATGTATACCTTTTTTTCATATAGAAATGTTAATGGAGGATTATAAAAAATATCTATTGGATTAAATATTAATTTTAATATTTAATCTATTATATATTAAATTTATTTTTATATTTTTCCGCAAAATTATCCACACTAGATGGACATTGATCAATTATCATTTCATCTAGAATTTTAATTCTATCAATAAATTCTTGTTTATTCCACTCATCTCCTCTGAGTGCTGATCGTAATTCAACAAGCACTTTCTCATAAGTTGTATAAGCTAACTTTGTTGTTTCTATCTTCTTCTTAAAATCCTTCTTTTTTATAATTCCAGCCACAATTACTCCTGTTCCGTTTATTACACCAAGAATAATAGGATTGAGTGTTAGTCCTCCTGTTATAGTGCCAACAGCAATAAGAGACAAACTAGTGATAGAAAAAAAATTATCTAGAAATTTATAGCTTTTATAAGATTTTTTATAGCACCATTGTTTCTTATGGTAATGTTTATAAAGGTCTGTTAAAGTTTCTTTTCGCTCTTCTGATAAAGATTTATCGATATGGTTAAATTCAAAAATACTCTTTCTTTTACTACTATTTCTTTTCATTTATTCTTTTGTTTACATTAGTGCGGCGTAGCCAAGGGAGGGGGTCATAGGGGGAACCGTAGGTTCCCCTATACTATATAACTTCCATTTAACTTTTCCTGTAGTATAATTTTTTTAAATTGTATAGAATCAGTGTCGTAAAATTTTGGTGAGTATAAAATTTTTTCTAATACTCCATCTTGATTTAAAAACTCAAATTTTTGATTACTTGAGTAGTTTGCTAAGTTTGCAACTAATTCTGAGGAGTAGTCACTTATATTAACTTTTGTAGTACTTGAACTAATATTTTCCCCCACCCATAAGATTATTTTTTTTCCATTAAAACTACTTGGAATAGGTATATTTTCTCTTACATTTCTTATATTTAGGTGTAGAGTATTATTTGAATTAAGATAAAATATATTAAACAAAATTTGATTATTGTTACTATCTTTTTTGACGATACTAAAATTTCTATTCCTCCAAATAACAAAGATAAAACATAAAGTATAACTTGTTTGTCCACTAGTTGGTGTAACAGTAATAGTAAACCCATTAACATTTAATCCATCTTTTCTTATATTATCTATAGTTTTATTTGGAAAGGAAATGTTACTATCACTGTTAGAAGAAATAGAATCAAAGGTTACATCAGATGATTGAATATTTACCCCATAACTATCTGAATCTGTAAAATCAAAAACTTCAAAATATTTTCTATAAACACTATTTTTAGTAAAAGGAATAATTTCTTTTACCATACCAACTGTGGCAGCGCTATTGTTACTGCTTCTATCAAGATCAATATTTAGTATTTTTTTATTATTTGTGTTAATATCAACATTATACTTAACTTCTGTTTGTAGAATGTCAAAAGAAGTGTGATAGTCGTAAACTTTATCGGGGTCAATATTGTTAAATTTACCCATAATACCATAAGTAATTATATAACAACCTAAAAACTGTGTTGGATAAGAAGCTAGATCATTCCCTAAATTAGGAATATTAACTAGTATGTGAAGAAAGAATTTATTACTAATTAATAACTTTCGAAAGTTAACTATTATTCGATGGTAATACATATTTTGTTTTCTATTTTTTGAATCTGTATAACTAAAGGATAATTTTCTTACATTAACATTTAAATCTGTTAATCCTGATGAAGTTCCTTTGTCTACACTTATCTGTGATTTATCCCATAGTTTTTTATCAGTGTTAAGTAACTCAATACATAATGTGTAATCTTTATTACCTTCTAATCTATAAAAGTTAATTCCCATCTTATATTTAAATCCATTAGAATTTTTATTAATTCCAAGATAAATTACTTTGTGTTTATATGTACGAAAATTACCTTTATGAGGATCTAAGTCTGCTATTTTTTTTATTGTATAACTATTTCCTCCATCTATTTCATCAGTCCATTGAGCCGCACTAGACATAAGATAACTAAACTCATCTTTATAATGACTTGGTTGAACTGCATTGTGATTAACCAGTTTATTAACATAATCTTTGTTTGCCGCTTCATTATTTTCTGTTGGATTACTAAGATTTTTTATTTTATTATTTCCAACATTAAGGTCTCCAGTCATTACAACTGTACCATCTTTTTCCAAATAATCACTCAAATCTGGACTTCCACTATTATCATCAACATATTTTTTTGTTGCAGCATCAGAGTTATTAGTTGGTGTTTTAACATTTTTTATTTTAAATTGAGCCATATTTAGATCTCCACCCATAGGTATTAATCCATTTCTTTTTAAATAATTTGAATTTGCGTAAACTACAGTAGTTGGTTGATTATTACCATTTGGCATTGGAAGATTTAATATTCTATTATTATTCATATCTATACTCCCAGTCATTTTTTTTGAACCATCTGATTTAAAAAAAGGATTAACATTAACTTTATTTGCTGCAACTGTATCATCTACATACTTTTTGGTTGATGCGTCTGTATTATTTGTTGGAGTTGCAAGACTAACTATTTTATTGTTGTTAATATTTAAGTTACCAGTCATTGCAACAGTACCATCTTTTTTCAAATAATTACTCATAGCCACATTATTTAATAAAAGCGTATCATCTACATATTTTTTGTTTGTAGCATCATTTAAGCTTGTTGGTGGAGCTAAGTGATTTATTTTTTTGTTATTCATGTTTAAATTATTAGACATACTATTTGTTCCAGTAACATGAAGATATTTTAAATCTGTGAAAGCTAATGGTGTTGGTTGTTTGGGACCATCTGGAGCTGGTATATTATATATTCTGTTATTATCCATATCTAGATTTCCAGTCATTTTTCTTGTTCCATCTAGTTTTAAAAAGGCACTATCATCAAATGATCCACTGGAATTATCATCAACATATTTCTTTGTAGCAGCATCATTATTATCACTAGGTGTACCAACATTTCTTAGTTTTTTATTTATCATATCATAATCCCCGCTTGAAGTTAGATTAAATCCTACTCCTGGAGCACCCTGAATTCCCCTAGCAAAGGGATGATCTAAAGATTGTTCGTTAAATATTCCCATTTTAATTATTAGATTAGATTACCAGTAAAGTTTCTTACAATATGTTTTTCTGGTTTATCAATGTAGAGAAATGAATACGGTTTTTTAGTTGCTGCTTTATAGTCTTCTTTACTAACTCCTAACTCAGATGATATCCTATTGGATTCCCTCGATGATGGAAATTCATATAGACAATAGTGAGAACAATTCAACCGAATGTCCTTTGGTGTTTTATAAAACGACTGACTGAGATACACCACCGAACAATTCTTATGCCGTCCTTGAATGAAATAATCAATTAGTTGTCTCTGGTTTTTATCGCAAACATAGTTATCGAATATCACTAGTTTTTGGTTGTCTTCATAATCCATTTCTGTCACTGGAGTTATTTCATCATTACTCACATGAAGTATTTCATATCCCAGTTTACTACTCAACTCCCTCATTTTTTTAATTAGCTTTTGATTCAAATCCTGTTCTAAATTACGCGCGTAAAGATAAATCTCATCATAGTACAACAGTGGTTTAATTATCATATGATATAATAGAGTAGTTTTACCACATCCACTGTTTCCACAGATTAACATCCGAAATGTGTTTGATGGCATGTAAGGATATAACTGTTTATATTTTTTATCTGGGTTGTCACCACTATCATAGTTTGGTATTTCCATTTATCTAATAAATAGATAAATGGATATTGAAGAATACAAAAAACTTGCAAGAAATAAAATTGAAGCTGATACTTTGACTCGACAGGTGAGAGATGTAATAAAAATAACAAAATGGCAAAAACAAAATATGACAGAGGGTTTTAAAGAAACATTTAAACCACTTATTAAACCTCAAGATAGTATTAAAAAAAGTATTGATGAGCAGCAAAACGCAACTATAGCACAACTTAAAAAAAATCAACTTGCTCTTACTCAATGTGGCTGGCCTCCCGTAGTACATACAACAAGAGGAGTTGCTAACAATCAACACGAACGTCCCAAACGTAGTTTATTCACAGGTCCTCGGTACAACACATTCTTTTTACTCCTTATTCTTGGATCCTGAGTCCCGAGATAACAATCTGACATGACAAATACATGATAGGCTAAATACGTGATTCGTAAGTACTAAACTTCAAAATGTCGTGTGAAATACTCTCTTGGGATTTTCCGTAAAATGTTCTTTTAACAGTTCTTACCGTTTAGGCCGTATAATGTCCGATGGATGGCGATAACTATCCAAAAACTTGAACAACACGAGAAAGGGCTAACATGGCGGCCGCTTACTAAAATCTGGTGCGGCTGCTAAGCTTTTACAACATACCGCTGACTGCGCAGCGCTGCAGTCACATGGCTCCCCTAATTGTTGCCTAACAATTACTTAAGTTAATGTCCATACTAGACAGTTAAACAAAACAAATGTTCATAAAGGCGGTCACTTGTGTCTTCTACACCTGTCGGGGCGACTTCACTGAGTAGTTGGCTCCTCGTTGGGGAATTCCTCGGTCTCCCTGCTGCTATCACCAACATCCGCTTCATCTGCAGAGGGTACCAGTAAGACTAATTTGTGGATTGGTCTATCCAGGAACGTAGATGGCTTTCGACGTCTGCCTTGGTTGTCAAGTTCTCCATCAGCTTTCACAATTTTGACTTTTCTGATACATCCGTCTTCGCTAGGGTAGACTTCTACGACTCTAGCGAGTGGCCATTGGTTACGTGGTCCTTCGTCTTCCTTGGATACGACTACATCTCCAACTGATAGATTTCGCTTTGGATACATCCACTTGTTACGAGCCTGCAGGCTATGAAGAAACTCACGGCGCCATCTAAGCCAAAATTCGTTCGCGAGATATTGTACTCGGCGCCACCACTTGCGGGAATATAGATCTGCTCGCTGGAACCTTCCAGGCGGTGGAAGTACAACTTTAGCTTTCAAGGTAAGTAAATGACTGGGCGTAAGTGGTTCTGGTGCCTCTGGGTCATTTAAGTCGTTCGTAGACAAGGGTCTGGAATTAACAATACACTCTGCTTCAGTCATGAAGGTTCTGAACGCTTCGTCGTCCAACTGTGTGCCAGCGCTCAGAAGTAACGTCTCCAGTGCACTACGAACAGTTCGGATTAACCTTTCCCATGTGCCACCCATGTGGCTGGCATGAGGTACATTCATCTGAAATGGTATCCAATCACATCCGTTCTCCACTAAGTACTCTTGCACCCGGTTCTGATCCAGTTCTTCTAAGGCAGCTTTTAGCTCATTCCTCGCTCCTACAAAGTTTGTACCCTGATCACAGCGGAGCTGTCTGACTGGACCGCGTCGGTTGAGGAAGCGACTAAGTGCGTTGATGAAGGAACTGGTACTTAACGAGTTGGCTGTCTCCAAGTGTACACCTCTGCTGGCCATACAGGTAAAAATAACTCCGTAACGTTTAACTTCACTCCTCTTTTCCTTGATCGGGAAAGGTCCAAAGAAATCTACAGCACAATACGAGAAGGGGGCCGAAGGTTCAACTCGATCCACAGGCAAATCGGCCATCTTCTGAATTTGCAGGGGGCCGCGCATTTTTCTGCATGTAACACACTTGGAAATACAATTTGACACTGCTGACGATCCACCAACAACCCAGTAGCCTCTCTGGCGCAACTCATTTTGGGTGATACCTCGTCCCATGTGGTTCACTTTGGCATGCCAGAATCGAATCAGCAAATCTGTAATATGACTTTTACGAGGAAGTATCACAGGATGCTTCGTTGCAAATGGAAGGTTAGCTCGTCTCACGCGGCCACCAACGCGGATAACACCGTTTTCATCGAGAAATGGATCCAAACGATATAAGCAACTAGACTTCTTGACGGCTAGATTTCTTTCTCTTGCGATCTTTCTAGTAGTAAGCTCTCCAACTTCCTTAAGTTCCTTTAAAACTTGCATCTCGTCATGGAAATGTTCACGTTGAACAACCTTAAGAACTTCCCTCTCTGCTGCGTGAAGTTCTGTAAGTGTGACTGATACCTTCGGTAATGGTCTGATGCTCTCACCACCCGTTTGTCTCGTCAACTTCACTTCTCTACTTGCCAGTTTGCTCTTCAGTCGTAGACACAAAGCTATTGCCTTCAGCACATGCTGCCAGCTTGACATGTGGCGCAAACGGCTTGACGTTAACGGTTCAGGGGCTTGAGTAGCTCTGCTCTCTACACGAGATGTGAAAACGGCTGCTTTCCTTACTTCAGGATCACTTTCGGTCACTTGAAATTCTTCTATCTTCTCAGGCTGGAAAGTTCCACTCTTCCAAAGAAATAAGGGTCCAGTTAGCCAGTTGGTTCCTTGTAATAACTGTGACGCTGTAAGGCCTCGCGAGGCATGGTCAGCAGGATTAAGTTCAGTGCTGACATACAACCAAGAACTCGGGTTAGTGACGTCACGAATCTGCTGCACACGATTTGCCACATACACATGAAACCTCTTAGCTTCGTTGTTAACATAACCAAGGACGATTTTGCTGTCTGTCCAGAAATGTTCCTTAATGTCCGTGTAAGACAATTCTCGACGAAGAAATTCACTCACGTTTGCTGAAACAGTAGCTGCAGCCAATTCTAGCCTCGGCACAGTGATTTGCTTTAACGGGGCCACTCTAGATTTCCCAATGACAAGGGAACAGTACGCCTTGTCCTCCACATTGATTAGTCGAAGGTACGAGCACTGTCCATAACCCTCTACACTAGCATCTGAGAAATGATGCAACTCGCTGGCTTTGACCTGCCCAAAGTTCTCCGGCTTAAAACAACGTTGAATTTGCAGCTGATCGAGATTCAGAACATCCTGACGCCATTTCTCCCAATGAGTATACAAACTCTCTGGAATTGGGCTGTCCCAATCAAGCTTGTCTCGGCACATTTGCTGCAAAACTTGTTTTCCTTTCAAGGTAACTGGGGCAACGAAACCACTAGGATCGTAGATTGAACTGATTGTGGAAAGTACGCCACGTCGCGTTAGGGGACGGTCACGCAGCTCGATGCGGAATTGAAAACTGTCATTCTCAATGCACCACACTACTCCTAAGGCACGTTCTAAGGGCAGTGGATCAACCTTCAAGTCTAGCTCCTTTAATCCTTTGGCGCGATCTTCGGCCGGAATCTGTTCAAGAACTTCTCTTTTGTTTGATGAAATTTTGTGCAGTCTCAGGCCGGCCTTGGCGCAAATGCCTTGACTTGCTTTTATCAGTGTAACAGCTCGCTCCACGGTAGGGACTGATTTTAGTCCATCATCCACATAAAAGTCCTGTCGTATAAACTCAGCAGCTTCTTCACCAAACTCTTTCTCCCCATCATCTGCTGCTCTCTTCAGACCAAAATTTGCGCAGCCAGGTGAACTACCAGCACCGAAAAGATGAACCTTCATCCTATACTCAGTCACTTCATTTGCAGGATTCCCATCCTTCCACCACAAAAAGCGCAGGAGATCTCTGTGTTCCTCTGACACCATAAACTGATGAAACATACTCTTAATGTCAGTCATAAACGCAACATTTTCTTGTCTGAATCTGCACAGGATCCCCAGAAGAGTGTTCATGAGGTCGGGTCCTTGTAACAAGTGATCGTTCAGGGACACCCCTTCATACTGGGCCGAACAATCAAAAACAACCCTGATCTGGTCTGGTTTTTTTGGGTGGTAAACACCGGTGTGTGGTACATAGTTAACCATTCCATCCTGAACTCCATGGCGGTCCGGTGGTACCTCTTCTGCAC